TCGATCTCTTATATATGAAAAGAGAGAGAGACAATCAATTTCTTAATAAATGTTTGTTAATATTAATATAATATGATGTATAAAATATATAATTCATACGATATAATATTTTCAATGTAACAAATACGACGTAACATTCTTATTTTGACATTGATAACTCAACGTTTAATATAAAATTAAGATATCACATCACATATCTTATAAAAATTTACAATAAGAAACGAGATTTAAAAAAAAAATTATAGTACTACGATTGTTTTTTTTTTTTAAACGAGAATATCATCGTGCCAATATCGATATTGGGTGAAACCCTAATAACACTTAGTGATTATATATAAGGAAACTAATATTTCTATACATACAGGAAAGGAGGCATGTCTTTTTTATCAAAGAGAAAACTTGTACATGTTTGGTGAGGAGCATCTTTCAAAGTAATTTATTTTACTGTCAAAGTTTTCTTTATAAAGAGGGGACCTAACTCAATGATGCCCATGAATCAGATTGCAGAGTTTCAAAAGGACCACCATCTATATATATACACACACACACACACACACATATATATATGTGTGTGCATGGCCTTTTTAGGGACCTGATTTTGATGTTGCACACAGAGATATACTTATTTTGATTTGGGTTCTAAATGGGGTTATTCTTATCTTCATGTATGTTTTATATAATTCCAGAAGGGACAATCAAGTTAAAAACTTATTTGATTATGAGATTATATGAATTAACAATACGGATTGAAGTATTTTTATTTTATTTATATATAATTTTTTTAGTATAAATTATAATATAGAAAGAAAATAATATTAAAAAACGAGTCTACGTATAAGTTGGTATTAACTTAACGACTCAGAACAATTTATGTTTCGATTATAAATTATAATTGAATTATATATATTTAAAAAAAATAAAACCCATAAATTAAATTTTTAAAACATGTGTGATATTTTTCTTATCATTATTTATGTCAATCATTAACTCGACCATCGTATGTATATAATCAAGATTTATACATATTCATTCATTTATTATTTTTTATTAATGTGGAGTATAAGCAATATTGTCATTACATGGTCAATCAACCACCTAAAATTAAGAGATCCCAACCAACATTAACCAAATTAATCATGAGACATAAAACCATTTCTTCACATCTCACTAGTGTTTGATGCAAACATTTGTGTTCCACCAACTAACCATCATTAATATTTTTGTATTTATTTATTTTTATAAAAAATACTATTGAATTTTTAAAACTTTATTTATTTTATGATAAATTAATGAATTAGTTTTTAAAATTTAACATTTATTATAATTTAATCTCTAATATTTTTATCATTACACTTTAGTTACTGGTGTTTTATACATACTTTTATTTTTTAAGTAAAAAAAAAAAAAATTAAAATGTTTAATTCATATTTGAATGTTTTAGAAAACAAATTAAATCAATGATTAATTTAATTGATAAATTAATAATAAGAATAATAATAGACATATTTTTTATTACTATTAATTTAATTAATCAATTAAATTATTTTTTTAAATCATTAAAATATTGTTTACTATTTTTTAATTTTAAAATAAAATAAAATTATAAAAAATATTATTATCAATTTTTTTATGTATAATTTAGTAATTTTTTTAAAAAAAAATTATATCTTGGTATGGCCCACATGAAGGTGGCATCAATTTCATGTGGAGTACTAAGAAAAACTTGATGGAAATTGGCCTTTGTTAGTGTATTGTGGCTTAGTGATAAGCCCATTAGTATAATATAGATTTTGTGATAACTCAATACTCTTTAATAATAATATGATAGATATTTTGTGACATACTTATAATGATCGATATTAATTCAAGAATTATTTTTGGCATTATGGTCATGAATGATAATAATCCTATAGTAATTATTAATACATAATAATTAATAAAAGTATCTCAATTTTATATCGAAATTTATAGAATCCGAAACTCGAAAAATATATTGTAAAAAAGTGAAGTTAATTACAAGTTTAAGATTATGTATTAGAAAATTACATAAAACTACAAAATATTATTTATAATATAATAATAGAATTAAGAAAAAAACAAGTAAAAAACATTTTGTGACTATGACAAAGCTTTTATTATATTGAACGATGATTGAAATTAGTAAAATTGTAAAGGACCGGAACTTAAAGAAAACAAATTTATATTTTTAATGCAGAAGCAAACAATAAAGTTAAGGTTGTAAATTAGAATGTCTAATAGGATTACGAGAATGTCCATTATACAGCGGCTCGCAAAAAGAAGCAAATAAATGATTTAAAACAAATAAATAAATATCATAGCGGGTTAAACTCCACTAGCTCTTGAAATGATCCGGAGGTAAACTACTCACAACATTTTTGTTAATTGGAATCTGAATCTTGATTCTCTTGATATGAAATGATTAATAGAATAGTGAGTTACACTAACCAAGTAAGAATATCACACTAATCACTGATACGAAAAACAAATGTTCGTAAAAATTACAAAACAACTAATTGAGCTCTTTAAGTAAATTTATTTAACATATTTTTATACTTACCATTACGAGTTTTTTGAAATCAACTTATAAGACAAACACCCATATAATATTTATAATTTCATGTTCAAGTGAGCAAGATCGGCCATTCTTCTTTTTTACCTGCTTATTGGAACTCCTGGGGGTTCATAGAGATATTCTCCTACTCGTGAACCCAATATCTAGATTTGTCAATTTACTTGGTCGTCCTCATACCCTGTCTAGTAATGGGCGCCAAATACACCATTGTTTTAATACCTCGTTTGGTATGAAGGTGAAGCATATATCCTAACCCTTCCGATATAGAACTTCTCAGCCCCGTTCGGCTGAGATAATATCCACGATAAAGTTTTTCTTATGTATCAGGTCCGTCCACCCTTTCCCAGGGTACCTAGTATATAATAGCATAGATCGGCGAAAGAGAGTGAGATGGACAGTTAAGATGGAATGGGTGGAATCAACGGCTGGGATGTGAGTTTAGGATAGGTATAAAAAGGGGGCGTCGGACATAGAGATGGGAGGAGGAGAATAAAGAAAATAAAGGGGAAAACAGATAATGCAGGAGTGAGAGAGGAAGACGATTATGAAAGAGGCAGTAATCGGAGGCGACAGTGGAAGAAGAACTACTCGAAAGTTCGAGAATGAGGTGAGGTCGCGATAGCTTTGGGAGATAGAGGAGGATGAAAGCAAGAGGTAAGAGAAATTTAAAAATTTTAAACTAATTTAGGGCAAATCTAGTGAGATTGTGTGTACAGGTTAATAGAGATGCTTATCGTCAAGGAGATCGAAGTCGAGGCGCTATGTTTGTTGAGGGAGTGTGAGAGGGGTCGAGGCCTGAGGAAAGAGAGGGAGTAAGTGATAGAGAGGAGTGTACATATGGGTAGTCGGTTGTGTGAGGGAGATTAGTGAACGAGAGATGTCGTGAGGATGGGAACAAAGTCTGTGGATGATGAGTTGTGTGTAACCGAGAGATAAGGTCACTGTGAAAGTGGGATGCATTATTGTATATGTATAAGTATAGGCGGCAGTGATCGATGGCGAGTGTAGGGATAGTTGTGTGTGTGTAAGGCTACTTACCGAGGGTGACTCCTTTTATTGTGCAGGGATGGTGGTTCGTGACTTTATATGTGAAGCTGTAGGTGGAGTGAGGTTTACGTGATATAGGGGGTAGGTTGGGTACTCTATGGTGTGTGTATGTATAGGTACTTAGATGTGGGAGGTCTCTTGGCCAATGTTGGAGGATTCTGGTATACTGGTGTGTAAATTAGTGGCACCCTGCGTGTGCGTGTGCGTGACTTGTGTGTGTGTAAGGCCTTTAGCCGATGTTTGTAAATATGAATATGTCGATATAATGCGTAGTGACATACTGTATGTATGGCCACTCTGTGGTCGATTGGGCATTCCCCTGGTCAAGTGTGTGGGAGGCCGTG